GCGCAACAAAGGGTAACAGAGAACCAGCCTCTGCAGCCTGACTCACGCCATCCCTGCACAGCTTCCCTCTGTCTTCCAAGAATGTTTAATAATGCAGCACACGCAGCTGAGATCACCCTTCTGGCAAGTGTCTGCTGTGGTGTGAGACCAGACATCTGGCACCATTGCGCCCACTTATAGTCTCCAAGGCAACAATTTCTCCTTGCTCTTTGGAAGCTCTGTGTGTTCCTAAAGAAGCTGTCGTCCTTCTTGATGTAAATGCAGCAGGTGTGAAAGGCTTTATCTGTGCTAACGAGCTCTAGATTGGGTGGCTGCTGCTCCAAGGAGCAGTGCTGCCTGCTCCTTGGATTTCCTGCTGAAGATATGCTGCCAGTCCATTCCTCATGTCACAAAGCGTCTCCTGCTTGTTCCTATCCCTGTGTGCCGTGTCTGTAGCCAGCTGTTCTGCCAGGGGGATCACTGGAGATCTCTGCTGAGGTGAGGTATTCAGGAAGAATTAATTCCAGAGGAGGTACTTGCCAGCCCTGAAGCACTTTGTAGCACTAAAATGCTCACAGTAAGCAAACAATTTAGCAGTGCCCCAGAGATGTTTCTGTGGGCTTCTCTTGAGCAGTTGGCATTTTCTTGCTAATGTGGTTGTATTTTGGGGCAATGTCAGAGGAAAACTCTTTATGCTGTTTATGTAGAAGAATCCCCCGTTAGGTTTTACCTGGACCTAAGACCAGGTAAAACCTAACAGGGTTTGTGTACTTGAACACAAGTGTGCTTGAAAACAGGAATTTACTGAACATTCGTGATTGTGGGGTCACTGATGTACAGTGAGGGACTCCCATCACCTGGAAGAAAGCCAGAATTGCTCTTCTGGCACAGCTGAGCCATCTGACAGCTGGAGTGATAGTAAGAGCTGTCTCAGCCCAAGCATTTAATGTTCCCTGTTGCCGCCATGATATTTTCTGAAAAATCCCTTCACCAGGATTTTTCTCCTGAGAAGCCTCAGAAAAGAAATGTAAACAATAATTATCTGATTGCTTGGAATGTGGTCTGGAGGTTGCTTACCAACAGGTGCATCTTTGATTGGTTCCATGTGAATTGTTTTTAATTAATGACCAATCCCAGTCCAGCTGTGTCAGGACTCTGGTCAGTCACAGGGTTTTATTATTCATTCTTTTTCCAGCCTTTTGTCTGTATCCTTTCTCTTTCTTTAATAGAGTTTTAGTATATCATTTTCTTTTAGTATAATATCATAATATAATAAATCAGCCTTCTGAGAACTTGGAGTCAAATTCTCATCTCTCACTTCATCCTGGGAACCTCACAACACAACACCCTGTGGGTAACAGTGTGCTGCTGATTTATAGGAGTTGCTACAGTCGCACCTATCCCTTGCTGTGAGCCCTGTGAGGGAAAGTGCTGTATTAGGTGCAAACTCAGCTTCATCATGGAAATGGTTTGTTTGTCTGCTCCACATTGAGTGGAAGCTTCTGCAAACTTGCTCCCCTGGAGTTCTCTTGCTGCAATTTTGTCTGTGCTCCCAAACCTGGGTAGACTCTCCCCTCTGCTCCCTCTGGCTTGGGTTTCTGCCAAGTTATCTGTCAACTGCACCAGATAATTGCTGGCATGTATTGGATCAGGTGCTTTACAGGAACTCTGGTAGCTGCCATGGCTGTAAATAGTGGCTAGCTGATGTTTCCCAAGGGCTGCAGGGGAGAAAATGTGTTTCCCACTGACTATTGGGGTGATGCTGTAGCACTTGAGAGGTGGCAGCAGGTTTGCCCTGTGACTCCAGGATCTGGGCCTAGGGGGACCTGCCCTTGCAGGCCGTGTAGCCCCAGTTTAGAAGCAGACTGGAGTCATTGGGCAGAAAAATGAAGCGGGGCTGAGTCATTTAGCAATTAGTGAGCCTTTAGCCCTGGTAAGAATCTGAGTAACTGAGAGGCAGAGTCTGCCTAGTGATTGCTATTGAAGGATGTCATGGAGACAGTCCACTTACTTACAGTTCTGGAGTTCTGGCTGCTGTTCTGGGTTTAACATTTCCTTTTTTTTCCCCTGCTCATCTCCCCACCAACAAGCTGGGGAATATGCATGGAAAACAAATCAGCAGCAGATAGTAGCATGTGAAGTGATTCTTCTGCTGGCATGAGTGGGACTGTGGGCAATAACACCTGTGGTGATTTAAAGTCCAAAGGTAATGTGTTGCTTTCTTGCTTGCAAGCCCTAAAACGGTTTGGAGGAAGGAGGTGAGAACCTGAGCCAGCTGGTTTGTGAGGGATGTTGGATACTGTACAGCTGGTTTGGGTTTTATGTACTTGATTTCTTCAGAACTCATGAGTAGAGGGGACAGGCTGCTGTTACTGGTGTGACCTGCTGCTGTACTCGTGAGCAGGCACAGGTGTCTGTGTAAAAGGCTCTGGTCTCCCAGATAATACAGGTCCCAAAATGCCTGTAGAGGTTTTCCCCCCTCTTTAGCATTTCTCAGGCAACATGGAGGCTCCCCATCCCCACTGGACTGGCTGGAGGCCTGTGCTGGATAAGGAAGTGAAAGCTCCCCTAAACCTTGCTGTGCTCAGCTGCATGAGTGAGCAAGACCTGCTGATGGATGTGAGGATAACACAATCCAGGATGGTAGTGAGTGAGTGCTGGTCTTGGGAGCACTAAGGAGATCTGCTGGTGTAAGGGCCGCAAGAGAATGGAGGAACTAGGGACTCACAGTGAGAATCAATGCTTGGGGTCAGCCAAAAATGCCAGGAGGCAGGGAAATGGGAATTAAACAAGCAGGAAGAGAGCCAATCCTCTTTGATGCCAAGAGGACCTTTTAAGCACCCAAGATTGCTGTGGGTGTGGAGCTGCCAGGAGTAGCCTGTGACATCCAAAAGAGAAGGGTGAAGCAGGACAGTCTGTGCAGCTCAGGGTGCAGGGGCAACCCCCCAGCCTGGACTTGTCACTGCCCACACCCATGGAAGCATCTGGGCTGCCCCAGCTAGGGGTTGTGAAGGGCTCTCCAAGCAATCATGTGAAATGTTTTCCTTTGATTCATCATCTGTAATTCCTCCTGGAGACATGCTTTTCTCATGGCTTGCCTCCTGTAAGTCAGCTGTTCCCACTCAGGAGCTGAACTCTGGGCAGCCTTGCCTGGGTTCCTTTTCAAGGAATGCAGCCTTTCCTTTCACCCAAGTATTCCAGTGCACATAACACTCTGGTCTCTCTCTTCCCTGACCCTGTTCTTTGTGTTCCCAGGCTGAGGTTTCCCCTGATGAATTTATTTGGCTCCCTGATCTCTTTACTTTTCTCACAGTTTCTAAGGAGATGGGTACAATGAGACGAAAATGTCAACCCCTTGTATTTTGTGCAGGGGGATAAGCCTGAGCTGTTGCTGGACTACACAAACCTCTGGCATTGCCATCATTTGATGGGACTCTTGAGTTTCCCATTCCCAGTTCAGTGGTATTTTGCCCTGACCAGAACTGAGCACAAATTGGGGCTGGTTTGTTTTTCCAGAATCCTGAACTGTCAGAAATGTGCTGCATCAACATGAAATGCAGTTTTTGGAGTCTAAGGGGTTTTTTTTTCACATGAAACAAGAAGTTTTCTCTGATGCCTGAATGTTGAGGCACAGGGGGGAAATCCAGGGAGTTGCTGATAGACTGATGAGGGAATAAAACTCAAGTGGACTGGTGGCTCTCAGCAAACTCGTGAACCTTTTCCTAAGGGATAGAAGTTTTCAGGGTGATTCAAAACTGCTCTTCCCCCACAGAACCCCTCTTGGGCACCTCGCAGGCAAGGCCAGTTGCTCTGAGCTGCCTGGGTAAGTTCTCCATCTTGCCTACACTTGTTTCCCTTCCCTCTCATTCTTGCTTTCTCCCGTTGGCTCCATTTCCTCTGGACTTCAGCAGAGGGATCTGGGATTTGCAGCCTGTCCCTTCCCACTTCCCATACCTCCTTCCTGGCAGTGCTGTTTCAGGAGTCCTTGTGCTTTAGCCAAGAGGGACATCTAGTGGGGTTGGAGCTCAGGGACCTGGGGTTTGTCAATATTTCTTGCATTTTTATTTATTAATTTGTAATCATTATGAAGGAGCAGGAACTGAGGTTTTACATGGTCCTGGTGGCATGCTGGCAAGGTGGACCTTTGGTGGCCAGTTCATGGGCTGTTTCTCTCTTCTTACTTGCACATAGGGAAGTGACTGTGGAATGGGGCTTTTATGGGAAGAAAGGTGCTGTGGTAGGTGTCACTGTGCTCAGTAAAACAAAACCTGTCTGAACACACTTCTCGGTGGATTTGGTTGCACAAGGTTCCAACTTTGACTTGGAAAATCATCTTCTGCTCTCTTCTTGCTTGGCCATGATCCTGCTGGTTGTGGCAGGAGCCCCAGACTGCATGTGGGCACAAGGGAGAGAGAGTAGACACTGGATCTGGTGTTCAAGTGATGGAACAGCCCACTGCAGTTCCTGTGGGTGCAGGTGCTGGGGCCCAGCTGCTGGGCTCTTCTCATTAACTGTTTCATCCTTTAGCATCCTGTAATTCCAGGCATCTTCTGGGGACCATCATCCATAACAACTCCTGTTTAGGGAAGCTTTTAGTGGGCCATGTGTCTGGGGAGCTTAACTGCAAACTGTGGGACACTGGAATGCAAACATTTGTACTTTTATTTGCTCAGTGCTGCAAAAGTGCTGCTGATGCTCCCTGGGCAAGAGAATGACCACAATAAATGCTTCCTTTTGTGTTGCTGTAGCATTGTGTAAGCACAGATCTCAGAATGTTCCTTAACTCTGCAGGGAGGGCTGAGGCACAAACCATCCTCCTATGAGCCCTCACAGCTGTTTCTTAAGATTTCTCCCCAGACTCCGCATCTCTCTCCACACAGTGGCGCTGCTGTGCAGAACAGTAGTGAAGTGTTTTACTGGGAGAGGCTCAGCTTCCCCCTTAGTGCTAGGGGTCTGTGCTGTAGGTTTCTGTTTCAGGAACACTTGCACAGAAGCTCAGGAAGAACCACACAGCCACAGTATTAGAAAATATCCCAGTTTATTGCAGCATCTCAGTTCTGAGAGTTTTACAAAATAATGTATTTACAGGTAAGGAAGGGACTAACTTAGCTGGAGTGTGCTTTGCTGGGGCAGGAACAGACTACAGAGGAAAAAGAAAGAAAATCAGCACATTCACGAGTCACATTTTTCTTTACAAAAGTAAGATAGGTGTAAGGCTGGTGTGCACAGCTGACTGGTGTTGTCCTTGTAGGGAGCACTCCAAGAAGAATTCAGTGCAGCCCTTGTGCTCTTCACAGTGATTCCAGAGGCACCTGGGGCTCAGCAGAAGCTGTATCAGCTCAGCTCAGTATGACGTTAAGGCACAATGCAGTGATGCCAATCACTCTGGGTCTCCACATGTGCCAGCAGCTCTGCCTGTGGCTTCTCTCATAGCAAGTGATAGTGTTTGAGCCCTGCCCATGGATTTCTTTGGGATGAGTGATGGCTTTGAGCTCTGCCTGTGGCTTCCCTCAGGGTGAGCAGTGGTGTTTCAGCCCAACATCTGTCTTTCAGGCCCCCAATCCTGGACTTGGCCAAGCCAGAAGCAGAGCTGGACAGAGGACAGAAGGAGGAGACCATGGTGTGGGACAAGGGAGGGATTCCAAAGGGAATCTCCCCAAAACTATGGTAAGACATCCATTACGGCTGAACACCAGAGAAAGGATATGGATGGCTGTTTGAAAACAAATGCACGACTTAGAATATATGCTGAAACCTTGTTTTTGAACTTGTCCAATAAAGTTTGCCTCTAAACACAAACTGTTTGTCTTTTTTTAATTAGATTTTTTAAAAATTTATTACTATATGCAATCTTGAATGATGGCTCATTCAGATTGTTCATGGGAGCTGAACTAGCTTACCCCCTCAAGGGAAACTTCTCCAAACACAGATTTCTCAGACTAAGGGCTAAACCCAACCATCAGCTCTGGTTGCACATGGAGTCCCAGGCGCTCACAGCGAGGTAGAGGGAGGGTTGAAGTTCACAGTAGAGGCTGTGCATGGCTGGCACTGCCAAGTGTCTTCAGCCAGCGCTGTCCAAGAGGTGTCCAGGCATGGATCCATCCTTAGAGGCCTGTGTGCTCCTGGATCCAGTCTCGCAGGCTCGTGAGCCGGCTGTACACCCCAGGTTTGTTCCTCTGGGCACAGCCGTCGCCCCAGCTCACCACGCCAGCCAGGAACATCCGACTACTGGGCTCCACACTGACCAGGGGCCCCCCAGAGTCTCCCTGCACAGAACCACACAGTCCCATAAGCACCAACCCCATAGATCACTCTCGTGCACAGTGGTAAAGTCACTCACAAAAACTGAGCAAGAAATGATCAGTAAATCCCTGTCTAAGTCAGCTGTCATTACAACTTATTGGCCATTCCCTGAAACAAATATTTAAGCATGGCAGTAAGAGCCACAGTGCCAGAACAAAGAGCTATAAAATACCAGTCAAGCAGCCTGGCTTGCTAACTAAGACTCTGAATAAAAGCCAGAAGTTGGAGTATGGCTGTATATCGTATCTGGTGAGAAGAAGTCTAAATCCTGTGGTTTTGGGCTGTAGTTTTTGAGTTGTAAGTCATGCATCGACATAACTTGCTGCTGGTGCCCATTGTAATCTGTTCATTTTCTGAATCCAGGAGAATTCCCACAGATTTGTTTTATGTTAAAAATGTAAATACAAGTGGAAGCAGATGAGCAAGGCTGAGCAAAGGACTGTCTCCCTGCCTAATAACCAATAACCAGCACTAAATCCAGGTGCTGCCTTACCTGGCAGGCATCCACACCACCGGTCAGGATCCCTACGCACATCATGCGTGGTGTCAGCTGGTCTGTCAGGAGCTGGTTACACACAGTCTGGTTGATGAGCCGGATCTCTGCCTTCTGCAGGATGGAGGCTCCTGTGCCTGCCAAGATGGAAGAGCATCCTAAGTAAAAATACACATTTTTAAACAGCTCCCCGTTTTTCCCTCAAGAAACACAGAAATCATAGACTTGTAGAATCTCAGAATGGTTTGAATTTGAAGAGAACTAAAGCCTGTCTTGTTCCATCCTGTGCCACAGGTAGGGACACTTTCCACTACACCAGGTTGCTCCAAGCCCTGTCCAATATGGCCCGGAATGCTTCCAGGGATGTGGCAGCCACAGCTTCTCCTGGCAACCTGTTTAAAATACATCAGTGCAGCACCAAATCACATGCCAGTGCTCACCTCCTTCTGCAGTTGCTCCCCATCCAGTCACCCACAGGTCCTTGCCCACAGGGAAGTTGTGGGTGGCATCGGGCAGGCAAATGGGCTGGACGACAGCCGTGAAGGTGACAGGGCTCTGCAGCTCCAGCACAGCAATGTCATAGTCATAGGTGTAGTCATTGAAGAAGGGGTGGGAGATGATGCGCTTGATTTTGCGGGTTTGCACATTGGGGCCACTCCGGTCACCTTGGTCAGTCAGCCCCAGGTAGGCTGTCCATAGGCTGGGGTCTGAATACCTGCATGGGGGCCATGAAACACAGGGTGAGACCTCATCTTGGAGACAGCACTGCTCACTACCTTAAACAATTTCCTTGAGGAATGCCTCTCAGAGCCAGTGTTGGAATATTGTGATTTTGGTCGCCACAATATAAGAATATTAAACTATTAGAGAGTTTCCAAAGAAGGGCAACGAAGATGGTGAAGGGCCTTGAGGGGAAGCCGTATAAGGAGCAGCTGAGAGCACTTGGTCTGTTCAGCCTGGAGACTGAGGGGAGATGTCATTGCAGTTAAAACTTCCTGTGTGAGGGAGAGAAGAGGGGTAAACTCTGATATCTGTTCTGTGGTGCCTAGTGACAGTACCAGAGGGAACAGCCTGAAACTGTGTCAGGGGAGATTTAAGTTGGGTATCAGGAAAAGGCTCTTTTCTCTAGAGAGTGGTCAGGTACTGGAACAGACTCCCCAGAGCAGTGGCCACAGCATGAAGACTGACTGAGCTCAAGAAGCATTTGGATGATACTCTCGGGCACATGGTGTGACTCTTGGGGATGGTGCTGTGCAGGGACAGGAGCTGGACTCGGTGATCCTTGAGGGTTTCTTCTAACTCAGCTTATTCTGTGATTCTGTGAAATACCTGGAAGCACAGGGATATAAGGCCGATACCTGATGCCTTGCAGTGGCAGGAAGCAGTGTGCTGCTGACACCAGCCAGCTTGCTGACACCAGCGAGGCCCCACAGATGTGGCCCTGGCTCTTGACGTGCAGGCTGACCTGCCACGGCCACTCTCCCACGTCCGAGTTCTGCCCACCAACGATCCGCGACTTCCTGACATAGGAGCGGAGACCACAGTCTAGGGCAGAGAAGGAGAACGGGTTCTTGGTTTCTCCTGTTCCCATCCAACGCTTCCCCTCTGTTCCCTCCAGGACATCTGACAGCACAAATACCCTGTTTACACATGTCAGGAAGGGCTGATGTTCTCTGCACAGATGCTAAATTAGCTACAACCTTTACTGGCTAACTATGTAAAGGGGAGATAAGCCCCTGTATTACCCATCTAAGCCTTCCTGAATAACACAGACACCCCACAGGCCATTAAAGAATGTGGCTTGGATATTTCCAGATCAAGCTCCTGCACAGAAACACACAGGGGCTCTCTCTGCCACACTGGGGTGTTTCTCTGAGAGAGCCAGCCCAGAGTCCCATGTCTCCCCCATTCCTGAGGCACTCACTGCAGTTGTCCTCATCAGAATGGTCCTCACAGTCCTGCTCCCCGTCGCACTCGGGGTTCTGTTTGCTGATGCAGTGTCCACTGCGGCACTTGTACGTGTACTCCTTGCAGGGGACAGTGGTCTGGCCTGCTGCAGGCAGGATGGAGGCACAGGGGTTAGCCCCAGTTCTGGGGAGGTCACATCAAGTCCACCTCTTCTGATCAACCCCAGAGCATTTACACCCTATGCAAACACACACATGAGGGTGTCCAGCCCCAAGGAATTCCATCAGAGGCTGCGTTTGCTGGCAGTCACCCTCCAGCCGACCCTCACCTGTGCTGCAGCTGCCCTCATCGCTCCCGTCCCCACAGTTGTCCTTGCCATCACATTTCTGTGTGCTGGGGACACACTTCCCGTTGTCGCACTTGAAGCTGTCAGCTGAACAGCCTGGGGACAGAGAGCAGCTCCTGAGGGCTGGGCATGAATCCTGCAGCACCTCAGCACACGGCTGTGCCCAGCTCCCCTCCCCGAGACAAGTAAAGCCTCTGCAGCTCCAAAATACTGTGTCTCCAATCTCTTCTCCAAACTGCACACCACTACTCAGTTATTCAGCCCTTTCTATTCCTACACCTCTGCTCATCCTTCTTTCCTCTGAGCTCTCATTCATCTTTATCAGGTGAGCACTCATCATGCCTGGGCTTTTTTGCCTGCTAATTTCCAGCACGGCACTTCCCTCCACCCCACGAGCCTCCATTACCCTAGTCACCCCCTTTGTGCCTGCTTCAGCCCTCAGCCCTTTGTGCCCGCAGGAACAGCCTGCAGGGTGAGTCACTCACTGCACTGTAGCTCATCGCTGTTGTCGCCACAGTCGTTCACATTGTCACAGACCCAGAACCTGGGCTTGCACCAGCCATTCTGGCACTTGAACTGCTGCTCGGTACAGGCTGAAAGAGCAGAGTAAGAATCACATGATCATTTAGGTTGGAAAAGACCTCCAAGACCATCAAGTCCTACCTGAGACCAATCACCACCTTTGTCAACCAGACCAGAGCACTGAGTGCCATGTTCAGTCATTCCCTGGACACCTCTAGGGATGGGGACTCCCCTGGGAAGGCTGTTCTAATGCTAGAAATTAGGGGAGAGGCCTGCAAAGGCACCTGCGGAGTCACCAGCAACCCACCCACCGTGGCAGCTCTCCCAGTGGGTGTGCAAGCACTTGGGAACCCCAGAAACCAGCTCGGGACCGTGCATGTGTACATAAATACACTATACACTCAGTACATCACAGTATTTCCACTTCTCTGAAGAACAAAGCCATTTGGAGCTGTTGCGTCTGAGGTAGTGGAGGCTGAAGCTGACATCACAACAGCAGGACAGCCAGAGGCAATACTGAAGGAAAGCAATTGCTGCAAGCAGTGGGAAAGCACCTGAGAAACCAGGATCATGGGCCAGCAGCACATCCTTCCCCACAAAACTGCCCCTCCCAAACCAGGGCACCCCATCCTCTCTAATATACTGCAGACCCAGGACAATAACATTAACTATAGGACAGCTCTGCTAATCCAAGAGGAAAACCTGTTACATAAAGCAACTCCTGTGTGTCCCATGGGTTTTCCAGATGAGCTCTGCAAAGCCTGCACGGTTGGGTAATGAAATGTGTCCCTCCACTCAGCTCAGCCAAACCCACAACCAGCAGGATTACAGAGAAAAACACATTCCCAGCTGGAAGGAACTGGAAAGAGAGGGCGATGCCACTGGGAGAGGGCTGAATTAAGCAGGAGCCCACAGCTCTTAGGCTGAGAAGGGATCCCAAATTGTGCACCAGTCTGGAGGAGGGCGGCAGTGCTGGTTCCAGCCAGCACTGAGTCACATTACCCAGAACAAGCCTAACCACCCCAGGGCACCATGGCCTTTCCTTGCTGTGCCAAAGAGAAACCAAAGGCTGGACTTACTGCAGGACCTCTCATCACTGCCATCCACGCAGTCGAGCCACCCATCGCAGCGCATGCTCCTGTCGATGCAGCGGCCAGTATTGCAAGTGAACTTGCCAGGGCAGGCTGAGAGGGAGAAAGGGACAAAACCACACATGAGCCCTCTTGGTGTCCCCTCTACATCCCTTCTGCAGAGTTTCCTATGCCTGCAGAACACAACAGGAAGACCAGGAGATTTTCAGGAAAGCAAGGCATGCTGCTATGCCCCTGGAAAAGGCTGCTTCCCAGTTTACAGGGCAGTGTAAACACAGAGGAGGGACAGCTCTGCATCTCAGGCAAATCACTTCCCCCCCCGAGCCCCAGGGTTTCAACTCACGGTCATTGGAGTCGTAGGACAGGAACTCTGCAGAGAAGCCTGTGTCTGTGTAGGATTGGTCTGAGTGGAACCGGAGCTCGATTTTGTTGGTGGTACTGGCCACCACGAACTGGGAGCGCTCCCCACAGTATCTGCGGGGAGAGAGCAAAGAGGAGTCAAAGGGGTGGAGGTCAGCACCAAGGAAACCTTCTTCTATGCCTGGTCTCCCTCCACACTCGGGAAGCTGAGAGGGCAGGAGAGCAGGGAGCAGGTCTGATCCCAGCACAGACTGCTGGGACTCAGGATCCAAATTCTGCTGCTGCTGGCAGAAGTTTTGGGCCAGTTGTAAACACCAACTTATGACTTTAGGAATGACTGGGAACAAGTTCTTCCACATCCTTGCCTGCCCCATGATGTGTCTGATCTCAATACACTGGACTCATGCAGGATCCCATCTCACCATGGATCACGTACGTGAACAGCACTGCAGAGGCAAGTGCTGACTTTGAAACCCTCTCTCCGAGGCAGGGTCAGCTCTCTTGTCCAAAACACTGTGAAACAAGATTAATCACCTGCCTCTGAGATCCTAAGTTTTCTCTCTGGCCCAGCTTATATCAGGCTGGGGAATGCATCTAGAAATGCATCACAGGATATGAGTGCCCTGAGAATGGAGAGCTGCTCGTTCAAGCAAACCCACCCCAGATGTTCCTGCCTTCCCACACATGAGCTATGTGCTGTGATGCTCCACAGCATCTGAGGGGTGGTTCAGCTGCAGCACACCACAGAACCAAGTGTGGGACTCCCCACTCATCATGGGGCAGTCCTGGGCTGACGCAGCTGTGGGGTTTTCAGGGTTTCCTCCGAAAATGACTGCCGTGGGTGTCCCAAACAGAGAAGTCCAGTTAAGCACAACCTGTCCGGGCCCCTCAGGCAGGCTCCAGGGCTGCAGGCAATCTTAGCAAGCTCAGCTCTTAAGTGAGATCAGCTCTTTAGTGATTTTCAGCTCATTAGTGATTTTCAGCTCTTTTGCTTGCTAAGTGCCTTTGGCAGATGCAGGGAGAGAGAGAAGAAGCTCTGTGTGAGATTCCACAGAGATGTCTTTGTTGGCATCTTCTGCAAAGGGTCTCAGTGACAGCTCTTCTGCCGAATTGGGCAAAAGTAGGGGTTTATATAGGGTACAGGAGTTTTAGGAAACAGTCCAATAGTAAGGGTTGAGGCAAAAGTGACCTATAGTCTTACAGAGAGATAACAAGGGTCTGAAGGAGGAAGAGGGGCTTCTTTTGGTCCAGTCATCATGACTAAGCATTTCCTATCTTAGGCTGCTGACCGCCAGGGAGGCCTTGCAGGTCCTGTGCCTGCTACACTGGGCACCCTCCTGCCTCCTCCCAGCCCTCAGAGCACCAGCACACTTGTTTCCACAGCAGATTAAGGAAAGCACAAGCTAGTGTGTAACTAAATGAAGCCACTCCATGGGTTCAGCCACCCAACACCCACCTTGTGCCGTTGATCTGCACATAGTCTTTGGTGCAGGAGGTGACTGGGATCCCAGGCTCCAGCACAAAGAACATGTTGAAACGCACCTTCACATTCTTTATAGAGGGAACCTACAAAAGTATGCACATCACTGGGCTGTTCCTTTCTAGAGCAAGAAAAAAGGAATAGTTTCACAGGAAGAAGGTTGTGCTTGGGGGAGGACAGAAGATAACTAAAAAGGGGAAATCAGTTTTCCAGCAGGATAAGAAACAGCTTCATAAAAGTCAGAGTCACCCTGGCTCCAGAATCCCCAGTGGAACAGGCATACAGAGGGGTGGTCAACAGCCAGTAACTGGCATGTCCCAAAGCCCACATTCTCATACTTCTTGTGTGAAGTTACAGGATTTTTCATGGTCTTCTGTGGGGTTCAGGCCTCTTGCAACCTTCTTCTGCCTTTGCCTCCAGTTCCTAAAGGCTCCCTCAGTCATGCCAGACTTGGAGCCTCTGGGCCCCAGATGCTGTGAGCTCCCTTGCACCATGTCCTGTATGACCAGGGTCATTTGACAGACTGGTTAAGGGAAAGAGAGGGCCCATCTCACCTCAATGTTCCAGACACAGTCCATGTCTGGGGGGTAGTGTGCTGGGTAATAGGGAGTTGTGAAGGTGCCACTGTCTCCCTTCAGGGTCTCACCACAGGCTAAAAACAAACAGGAAGGTAATAACAAATTAGAGATTTAGATGTGGCTTTTCCAAGCCTCAGCAGGCTGTCATTGGAGGCAGTGGCAACAGTCTCTAACATGGTTAAGTCACTCTCTGGAGAGAGCAGCTTTGCTCCAAGGCTTGAGAGAACCCAGGAGATCAATTAGGTGCTTCCATCAATCTGCACATCTAATCCAATATAATTCTCATTTTTGCCTCCTTGGGGAACATCCTTACTGCAGTCAAGAACACCGTAGGCAAGGCAAGCACCTGCTTCCAGGTGCTCCAGCCCTGGAAACATCCCTGACAAACTGACCCCAGCCACAGCCACCTCCCTGTTCAGCTGCCCATGGCAGGGAGACATGGGGAAACAGGCCAAGGCCTCTGCTCACCTTTCATCTTTGGGAGCTGGAAGAACTCAGCCTTAAAGCCAGGGAATCGTCCCTCCTTGTTGGTAACCAATGTGACTAGCATGACGTTCTGGGAGGAGAGGAAGGTCAGGTTGTAGGATGGGGCATAATTCCCACAAAGCCTAGGAAGCAAAGGACAGAATTCGTAAGGCACTACTGCACAGGGAGCCTCAAGCAGCACATCTCAGCTCTGAGCAGGAGCAGGAGATCTCAGGATCACCCTGGACTTGGTGCCATACAGGAACACCCACCTGACCAAGGCGTGGGGCTCCACGGGGCTCAGAGAGTCGTACACCTTGATGTAGTCACTGTCATCTCTACATGGCTCCAGCTCCAAGGTCTTGAAGGTGAGACTGATGCTGGAACTGGCATCTGCCCTCAATGCCCAGTAGCAGAGGGCATTGTTAGGGTATGGGCTGTTGGGGAAGCCTGGCGTGGTGAAACTGGTGACCTCCCCTTCCTTGGCATGAAGGGAGAACATGCAGCTGTCTGCCCAGAGAGTAGAGAACAGTTAACAAGGCAAAGAAGCCTTGCCCTGCCTTTCCCTGGGATGCACAGAATAATTCCGGCAGGCTATCCCAGGGCAGATGGCTCTTCCTGGATAACAGCAAGGCCTATGCCACAGTCTGTCCAACCCCAAACCAGCTCTAAGAATCACACTGGGGTCTGCCTTGCATGCAGAGAACCTCTCTCCAGACCCTTCCCCATCCACCACCCTAAAGAGACCACTTAGATGGAAGAACTGTACTTACTGTCTCGGGCAGAGTGAGCTATGCTGGGGTCCACAGCTGCAGGAAAAAACAGAGCTGACATCACCCTTTGGGCTATGGGAAATCCCTGGTCACAAAGCCGAGGTTGTTCCTCAGACTGTCATTGATCTGGCCTCACTTGTGGAACTTCTCCCTGCAAACTGGCAGGAGAGCTCTTTCCTGGCCTCTGGGAGCTGAGGGAGCAAACTTTCCCTCTGCAGAGGGAGAACTCATCCTTGTCTCTCTTCCCTGGGCTCAGAGGAGAACACAGAGCATTTCAGCAAAGGGGATACAGGTCTGTGCAGCCCCCTTTAGGCTGTACATCCCGTTAAGCTGTGCTGTGACATCCAGGTCCTTACACCACCCTCAGGGCTGGCTTTCTCATGAGAGGGCTGTGACCAGCACCTTCTCCTTCCAGAGAAATATCCCACCTGATCCCATGCAGAGGCCCAGGGACAGCGAGACCAATACTCACGGAAAGCAATGACTGACTCCACCTTCAGCATGGGGTTTCTCAGGCGGGGGTTCCACCTCTGCACCAGGCTCTGCTTGTCAGCCATCGCCCTGTCCAGGCTCTCTTCCCGGTATTTGGGCACAAGGAATTCTGACCAGTAGTAGGCAATGACACTGCCTTCACTGTGGAAAGGGTAATTGTGGGATAAGGGCAAGGACAGACATAGGAGGACTCAAATACCACTAGAAGAAGGGGCCAGACTACTTGATTAGCCAGTTTTGGAGCCTGGCCACAGGGAAGGGAGAGTTTTATGACAAGTTAAGCAAACAGCAAAGGCTCCTGCCAGCCTGAGCAGTCTCTCTCAATGCTGCCAGGCACCACCCACTACAGTTCACTGCACCACACCTTGATTTTTCCCAAGACATCTGGCAGAAAACAAAATGCATTTTCAGGTCACTTTTTACTGCTCACCCTTTCCTGTGTCATTCAGGGTGATTACTGGGGTACTTCTATCCCAGCATCCTGGGAAGGACGGTAAATGGCTGATGTGATATCCTGGCATCCTAGATGGGGCTCAGGCAGTGCCTAACACTCACCTGAAGGCAGTGATTACTGTCTCCTTGTGGTAAGGACCAATATCAGCATGATTCTTGTAGATCTCCTCCACCTGAAAGGGTTAAAAAGAGGTGTTCAGCGTGTCTAGAAGTGAGGAAAAGGGAAAGGCTGAAGATAGACAGAGCTTCAAGCCTGCAAAGGGAAACCAGGGCACATACCTGGCATCCCTGTGTGCAGGAATCTGCAGAGCCAAAGAAAGAAAGAAGGAGAGTTGAGAGCCCCAGAAGAGCACAGAGATGCCCATCACAGCCTGTTCTGACTCAGCTCACCCACTCTTCCCTGGGGAAAATGAATCCCCAAGTCTGAGGGAAGAGGCACAGCTTCAGCCTCTTTTAGACACCCTTTTACCTCAGGTCCTGGCCCTGACTCATCCAGTGATTCTGGGACGTGCCCTGGCAGCTCCTATGGCACTGGGAGATGCCATGGCACTGGGCTGGAGCTGGGATGTCAAGATCCAGCTCCAAAGAAGGTCCCCGCTCCCAGCCAGTGTGACACAGTGAGCAGGTAAAGCTCCAAGGAATCTTACATGGCATATCCCCATGGCCATGGGGCAAGAGGAAAATTCCTTGCTTGTAGAAGGAGGGAGGCAAGAAATCTCTTACCGTGCTCTTCACCTTCTTGGCCAGCATACTGAACTCTGGAGAGCTGGAGTTCTCATAGGCATCCAGGAATTCCCAGTTCAGAACCCGCAAGTGGCCATTGAAAACCTTCTGGACAGGTGTGTTCCTATCTGGAAGAGAACAGCTCAGGGTCAGGAAGGGCAGTCAGAGCTGGGACTGGTGTCACAGCAGATCCCCAGTGACAGCAATTGGGGCAGGGAGGTGGAAATGGTGTCTCCAGAGCTTGAGAGGGCACATGTGAGCAACACCAGGTAACAAAGCTTTTCCATGCGGACGGATACGCTCCCAGGGTGTTACCCTACATGTCACCACCCACCAGACGTCACACTCACATTTGAAGTGCCAAAACAGGAGGCCAGTGGTGAGGGAGACAAGCAGAAAAACAATGATCAGGACAGTGATGACCACCTGCCGCCTTGGGCCGCGCTTTTCCATCTTCTTGGAGTTCATGGCAGGGAGGAACTCCACCCCTTCATCCAGGTTGTTCATGTCCTGGGAGAGGAGGGAAGGCAGGACAGTGAGAAAGCTGTTCTCAAAGCCTGGCTTGGGGAGGTTCAGCCACAGAGCAGCCTGAAGCAGGTTTGGAGACAAGGAATGCAGCAGCACTGAGGGCAAACCTCAGTGCTGGCAGCTCCACAGCCATGGCAGGACAAACCCTGAAGGTTTTTTCTTTGCTTTTCTGCACACACCTAATTCCTTTCTGCGCCTAATATAAGGTCATGACTTCAAGCACACTTAGGGGCAAGTCCACACACCCTCCTGTGACCATGGCAGGTCACAAGCCCACAAGCTCCAAGATCTGCCTCAGCAGATGAAACTGCAGAGAAAAATTCACCCCCACAAAGTGCTCGCTGTGTGCAGGTGTGTCACCCAGAGCTCATGGGGCACAGCATGCTATAAATAGCATTTCCCTAATAGAAGAAATCAAGCTGCTTCCTTCCTTTACAGCTTTTTCACAGCTCTCTGTCATGCCTCCTGAGCCAGCAGCACTCCTGTGTTTCTGCTTAGAATCTCTCATCCAGCACAAATACTTGTTAAAAGAAATAAACCAAAAAATTAAAAGAACACACAAAACATCCCCACAACCCACAAGCAGCCATGCTCCTGGGACAAGACGTGGAAGAGAGGAACGAGGAATGACACAGCTCTTGCTGTCATCATAATGGGCTGAGTGAGGAAGTGGAAGATGTGTTGAAGCATCAAGCTCTATATCAGCTGTAAAACCATTGGTATCCTAAGGTTTCAGTTTCTCACACCTTCTGTTCTGTTCCTCCATCCTTGCCCTGCTTCTGTACCTCTCACGTGGGGGGGAGGGGGGGGGGGGAAGGTTTGGACAGCTGCAGACTCAGATGTTTTCCAAGGATCCCACACAGCATCCTTGGTACTGTTGGACATCATGGGGACCCAGATCCACGCCTACCCTGGCACCTCCTCTCCTGCCAGTACTGGCAGTGGTGTGGCCAGAGCTCACCACATCTGCTTCCGATCTGTGCCTCCCTTGGGAAGGAAGGGCTCTGCACGTGCTGCAATGGCCCAAAACAGGAGGATCCTTCACCTTTCTGCTCACCACCTTCCCATTTTCTCCTTAGTAGGCATTCAGCAGCTTCCTGGGCTCTGGAACCTCAGCATGGACACCACAGCACAAAGTGCCGACTCACACAAATCCGCGGCATTTCCACGTGCCCCGTGCTCCAGAAGGGTAAAGCTGTCTCCACAAACACAGGGTCAGACTCTGCCTGTCCTCTCTCAGCCCAGGGCTCACACAAACCCACTCCAACAGCTTGGGTTAATATGAAGCAAATGTCACAAGCCCCTAAATTAAGGAAAAATATGTACAAGGGGGATATAGCTTGATAGAACACAAGGGAATGGCTTTGAAATGAAAAGATAGCAGGGTTTGACAGGATACTGAAAAAAAAATTCTTCCCTCTGAGGGTGGTGAGGCCTTGGCATAGGTTGCCCAGAGAACCTGTGGCTGCCTCATCCCTGGCAATGTCCAAGGCCAGACTGGACAGGGCTTGGAGCAGCCTGGTCTAGTGGAAGGTGTCCCTGCCCATGGCAGGGGGGTGGGTCTGGATGGGCTTTAAGGTCCCTTCCAATCCAAACCACTCTGGGATTCTATGAAAAACAACTAGCAAAGGGGATCCTGCTAACATAGGGATCTCTGAGCCTGCTGTACAGACAAAAGGAAAAAGCCATCTTTACTGCATTTCCTCACTGAACTTCCAGTAGGTACTTCATCTTATCTTTCCTCAGCCTTGCCTGACAGGAAAGCCCAGCTCCCATTCCCCCACTTCTTTTGCCCTTTTCTTCACCCAATGCCTGTGCTCTCCTCCCACCCTCCACACCCCACTACAGCCTCTCCTCCTTGCGGTATTTGCCCAGGGCCCTTCAGAACAGAAAGGGAAGTGGCAGGCACCTTACTCCGAGTTTTTGTCAAGGACTCTGTAAGTTTAATCCTCTGCAAACACCAGAAGACCACCAAGACCAGAGCAACTCACCAGTTTTTATATCACCTGCTCTCAGAATCCTCTCAGTTTATCATTTGGCGGTTCAGGGAAGGAGCCTTTGTTCATTTTTGAGTTTTACTGCCTAAGGCTAGACAGAAAGAACTGTTTCCATCCCCAAAATCCACCCACCTCCAAAATAAAGAGCCCTAGCAGGGCTGCAGAGGACATTCCCATGGGGAATGCTCTGAATTCTGTTTGGCTTCTGATCATACAGGAAAAGCTTGAAAATATAACCCAAGGAAACTTTGAAACAGATGGCACACAAAATAAAGCTTAAACACACAGAGACATCCTAAATCAAGAAATTCTTCAAAGTCAAGACTGCCTGGAATTTGACACACTGTCTTCCAAACTAGCTCCTACCAGTTTTCCAATCATGAAATAAATCCCCCCAAAACCTGGTAAAGAGAAGAAACTGGCCACAAAACATGCAAACACATCCTCTCTCCCTCCACAGGGCTGCTCACGATGCAGAGCCTTCTCAGGACTTCAAAACATTGCTGCTGTTGGCAGGAAACAAAGCATTTCACTCTTTATTAACATCTGCAGGAGTCTATGGCAAGAAGACATTCTCAGGCACTTAAATGATCTATCAGTTTCCGCAGACTTCCTGGAGCCAGCGAGGAAGAACTGCAAAGAAAACCAATTTTCCACAAGAAAACTCTTCAGCTGCGGGGACTTCAGCCCTCTGCAGAATTCATACACTTCCGTTTCACCAAACTGCCGGGAAAAAATAAGAATCAGCAGCAAGCAGAAGCTCCTGCTGTATGACACTGCACAACAATGTGGCTGATGCATTTTAACATCCCCTTTAAGCTAAAGATTGTGTCCTTGCAGACAGAAAACTCTCTCAGTGAGAAAATCATTGCTGTGATTAAATCAGAAGGCAAACAGAGCCCTCCTCTGCCTCCAGCACATACAGGCAAATGCACTGCTCCTGGGAGCAAGGAAATTAGACAGGAAAACTCACCATGCGCTCTTTCTTTAGGCAATTTCTCTGCTTTCCTTGGAAAAAAAAATAGTATGAAAAAGCTAAACATGTGAGTTTACAGTGTGCCCTCGTCCGTTTTTTCTTGCGCCAAAGCTGAGCCAGCAGCAACACAGGAGAAGTGATAGGAGTGCAGGGACTTCTGGGAAGGTTACTTTTGTTTTTCCTCCAGTACAAGGTGCACAAGCAGCCACTGACACTGTTACTTGCCAGAAGTTATGCCGCGACTACAAGCAGATAGGAGGGTAGAGAGGAGCTGAACACGTACTGGCCTCACCTTGTCCATGGTCCCTCCAGAAACCATCTCTAGCCCCAAGTGACTCAAGGTCTGACTGTCTCACTGTCTCACCCTTCTCAAGGAAACTGCTCCAATAAACATTATTAACAGAAAACCTCCCTTGATATTCTCTCTGCCTTAGTCACTGCAGCAGTTACTTCCTTCTGCTCCTCCTCACTCAGTCCTTGCCAGTATGGCCAGGCTCCCCACACAGAGAGTGTGACCCACACTGGTCACAGCATCAGCTGTGGCAGCAAAACCAATCCAGGGAAAAGTTCAGACAGGCACTGCCCCAGCTCTCTCATGACTCAGTTTCCCCTGGAGTACCAACTCCATGAAGAAACTTCGAAAAGAAGTGCACATAGATGAATTTATAGAGCACTTGGAGGGCTCCTGCTCCTCTGCACAGCATTTGAGCTCAGTCCTGGGGAGAGCAGACCTCCCACTCCTCCTTCTCTAAGCCACACAATGTATTTTTAGACAGTGACTGTGCTCTGTCCAACTGGACAAACCAGATGCAGAAGTGACTAATTCTGTCAGCAGGAAATTCAGCAGGCACAAGGGGGTGGTGGGAACCAGCTCTGCACTGGAGATCTTACGGGAAAGCAGAGAGATTCTCCTGCAGTGGGGGATCATGGAAAGGCTGGGATATGCTATGGAATATGGCTCTCCAGCATGATGTGTGCAAAGCAGGGGTCCCACTGGAATCAGCATCCCCCGTAGAGGCTGGTTTCTGCCTTTTTGGCACTCCCAGATGGTGATGTGTCCCAGGCACCAAACCCCTTACTGTTCCTCTCTCCTCATAAACAGCTGTTCAATCTCTCCCTGAGTTTCTGCATCTGTTTACAGGATTCTGACCCACAGAAGGACTGGGCTCCTGGCCATTAGTTTCACCCGTCCTTTATGAACACCAGATAATTTTGTTCATCCAGCACCAGACATGAGATTTACCTACTTCTCTCAACTTTCCCAACTCCAGACTCTGCAGGTCTGCCACAGGACTGCTCAGGGCCAAATCTGCCCAGATCATAGAAGGTAAGAAGAGCAGGTGTGCAACCAAATAAAATCTCACAGCAAAAAAAGATCACTGTCTGACACCATGTACACAACCAAGAAAAGGAACCCATAAAATGCCAGGCTGGAGGAGGCATAGGGAGGTCAGAGATGAAGCAGAGTCATTGGACAGCATGGTTAGACTCTTGAGGGTAATTACAACTTGCAGATCCCAGCCTGTGTATCCAAGAGGCAATTCCCACCTCCCCTTTTTTAGCCACACCTGCCTCGGGTGGTGTTCAATAAAAACTAAAACAAATACCACATGAGAAACCAGAGGAATGAAACCTGTCGACTGGGCCACAGTCTCAGGACATAGCCAGCAAGCCAGTTCAGAGCTCAGGAGACCAACACGGTGGGCTTGTGCAGCAAAAAGAGCCAGAAAAGTTGTATTTTCAAAAGCTGAAAATTCCTGGATCATGTTGAAAGCTCACACCAGCTTTGTGGGGCTGGTATGAGGGAAAACAGTCTGTTACCCATCGGAAAAAGTAAAACAAATGTAAACAGCATGTGCAACTCACTTCTCCCAAGTAGCTCAAGTACAGCTACACCATCCTTAAATCAACTCCTGCACCAACTCTTGCTGCAAACCCAAATAACTCCTCTGGAAAAAGATCTGATAAGAATCATCTTCTCACTTCTCACTCTTGATAAGAAATATATAGAAACAGCACACATGGGAAGTGAAGTTTACATAAGGTGTATTCATGCTGTGCTGCCCCACCACAGGCAGCAAAGCACTGAAGAAACTTTGCCAGTGCATTAGTTTTTGTCTTCAGTTCTGTATTAAGGGCAATGAAGCTATAAAATTATGACATCAAAACTAGAAAGGGAATATGGGGCAAGAGCTCAAGGACAGAGTCCTCCAGACTGTGCACCTTCCAGGCGCAGAGGGCAGGTGCAATAGTGAAAGATACAAGTCACACACACCTATTTCACATACCAAGTTTGAGCTTAACCCTCTACAGCAGATTGTCCTGTCACCACCCTGAGTCATATGAGAAAACAAATTCCTTTAGGTTTATTATAGAAGAAACTAATGTTAATGTTTGCAGAGATAGCAAAGGCTTGGCTTGCTGTGCCATCCAGGCTGATCAGTGCAGCTCTGTCCTGCATCACAGCAGCTCAGAAAAAGCTACCATGCTTCTGTTTTTCTGTGGTTTTACGCTTAAATCTTAGCAACTCTTGGGGAGAAGCTGGGAATAAAGGTACTCTACAGCCCTGATCTGTGTACCTAGGGGCCATGAAATTCCTCCTTGCAACACACTGATGTCCCAAGAGCAGCAGAGAAACATGCCACAGATGCAAACAGCTCATTTAAATCACTTGTATGTCTTTCCTGGTACAGACAGAACTGTCTGGAAAACAGAACTGCCTCCAGCAGCTTAACCAAAGCAGCCGAGCCCCAGACCTCAACCTCCACAATCCTTGTGACACTTTACTCATTCCTGAAGTTCTGAGGTGGATCAGGATCATGGGTCTCCGATGTTTGAAGCCAACAGCAAGGAAAACATGAGCACCTCCAACCAGGAAATCCTCTGTCTGCCAAACCCATCCCTGTTGGCTGCTCCCTCCCCATCCCAGCCCATGACCCAGATATTGCAGGGCATATTATTTCCCAGTCTGTCCCCAGCGGCCTTTGGATGGAAATGATACATTCTACCCTGGGCAAGGGGAGAACCTTTGTCCTGATACCTTCCCCACAGCCAGGCCCTAAAAACACTCTCGCTGCTCCCTCAAGGGTTTTACAGAGTGATCTTTCGTTTGCTGAGCAAAGGTCTGGCCTCAGCCCTTTTCTCACTGTGTCTTCCTTATCCCTGTTTGCTTTTGGCACCAACAGCAGCCAAACTGGCCCAAGCAGCAGCTCACCTGCCAGCCACTACCCCAAGGAAACACTCTGCACCTTTCCAAGGAAGAGCAGCAGCTTCTCCTCAGCCCAAGAACTACAGCAGCTCCTTTACCAGCACAGGAGGAGACACAAGATGTTGCAAAACCACTAATTTCCTCCACTCTCATGTTTATAAGGGGCCAAGTCCAACAACAGTCCATGTGTGACAAAATCCTTGGGTTGTTTCCTGCCAGGAGGGCAAGTACTGTCTTCAGGGAAGCTGCTCTGGATCAGATCAGTCCCTCTTAAACTGACACAGGGGGAAAACTGATCCAGAACCAGGGAAGGGACCCGCTTGAGCCCTCAGTCCTGCATAAAGACAAATCAGAGCACAAAGCTACCTTCTGCCAGGAGAACAAGACAGGCAGGGAAGATCGTGTCCCACAGGTGCCACCCCAGCCTGGCCAGGGACAAGGAGCTTGAGCTGAACTGCTTCAGTGAGAGCATCTCCTTCCCACTCCCAGTCATGGCACACAACCGGACAGTGGGATAGGAGGCAAGGGAAAATTTCTTGCTGCAGGCCAGCTTTTTGATCAGTGCCAGAACCAGCAGCTCCTATGTTGCTGTGAGATAATAACTACTAAAACCAGGCCTCAGAGACAGACACCACACAGCCTGCAGGTAGGGTGGGAAATGCTGCTGTCCTGCTTTAACCCGAAGCCCTGGGTTTGGAACAGCTCTGTGGCACAGAACAGGCTCTGGAGGTGCAACCCAAACTCAGCCATCCCTGCCCGACCCTCAGCCAGGAAGATCTACAAAAGAAGCTCACTCAGGTCTCAGAACACGCGGATTATGCAGTGGTTAATTAATGAAGCCCCACAGCCCTCCCTTTACGACGCTTGAACAGGTTTAGTTGGATCTGTTGCTAAACAACCCAGAGCCAGGCTCTGCACATAGCTTGCTAGCATGGACTTTACCTTTACTCACAACCCCACTGCCCTTAGCTTAAGCTGAAACCAAAACCCCTGGAGCAACGGCAGCACCAACACCGAGGAGATCCAAAGCCGGCACTGACAGGTGATCTCCACTCCCCCAAAGCTGGTTTTTTTCTGCTCAGCTGAGCTCAGCAACGTTCCCCAAACAAATTCTCCTGACCTTACCCAAGGGTGAGCTGGAATCCCCCCTTCCTGAGGGATCCAGAGCAGCCCTGAACCCACCAGGCTCGAAGGAACCAGACGAGCAGAGGACGAGGCATCTCGGCCAAAGGCTGGCAGGTGTTCTGGGAGCTCCCCTGCCCAGGTGTGCCCTCACCTGCAGCTGGGTGCTGTACCGCACGCCGGCACCGTTGGCCGGGGGGCCTCGCTCCATGGCCAGGGCAGTGCCGCGCGGCTCAGGCCGCCACGGCGCGGTGGCTCCGGCCTGGGCACCGCGCCCAGCTCCTCCTCCCTGCGCTCCTGGCAGGTGCGGGCAGCCGGAAACACCCCGCAGGTGCTGTGCCGCTCCCGCCTCTCCTCTCCACAGAAATACGGGAAAACACCGTGCCCAAAAGCCCCATCAGCTCTGCAACATCCAAGAGATCCTTCAGCTACAAGCTTTGCTTTAGCAAATGAAACCAGAAAAATCTTGTCTTCTAAGAGAAGCTGCCCTGCACTCGGTAGGAGGGCTGGCTGGCATGCAGAGATGCACAGTTTCTAAAGAAAAGCTTTGTGTATCCAGGGTCTCATCCCTCCTCAGGTGACAACATTATCATGCTATGAAACCCTGCTGCAAAGAGGGCACTCAGCACGAACAGACAGTTTACCCCAGGGACAAGCCTCATGCTCCCAAAAACATTTGGTACACTCATAAGCAAAATATTACCTTTCCTCAGCCTGAAATCTGCCCTCAGCAAGACTACATCACTGTAGGAATGAGCTTTCTCTTGGCTAACAGAGACCAGATGCAACAGGAACAACACAGCAGTGCTGCAGAAACTGCGTGTGCACCCAAATGTGGTACTCAGGGGATGCTCACATAGCAACAGCCCTTGGGGCCTGTGTGGTTTAATATTAAACAGAGAGAGAAGGGAGGAACTGGGGTTCTGAGAACACTCTAATGCAGGTTTAAAAGAATTTGTAACACTGAAAGCTGCATTCAGTCTTACTTCACCATTTACCCTTTCTTGAAACGATGATTCATACACACACATTCCAATATTTAGGTTTCTCACATTCAAGAGCAAGTCAGGATTAAAACAGCTAGATCAAACTCACTCTTTCACATAAAAGTTCTTCCTTTCTCCATCTTACGTGTGCCAATCCGTATGAATATGCAATATGCCCATTCGAAGTTGAACTGGCCACCCCACCGCTGAGCCACACCTTTTTACACCAATTGCATCCTGCCCTGAAACTGAATTTTTTAAACACTTGAACACTTAAAACTGCCCAGAACTCTTGTTCTGGTACAACAAGAGTTGCTGATCACACGCAGAAAATACCTTGCTGAGTCTCCTTTGTTTCCCCTTGCTCTACATGGTCACCTGCGGAGGAGAAGTTTTGCAGGCTTTTTGCAGATGTTTTTTTTTTTTTGGGAAAAAATAGAGACGGAGTGAGGTCTCCGAGCCTGCTATGATGTAGAAACACATAAACCACTGCCTTCCCTGCCCCCTCAGCAGCTGCCAGAATTCCACCCACCGCAGAACACGGCACAGGAGGCAGCATCCCCGAATTTAAGGTACTCCTTTTGAAAAGGTGCCGTGTTAGTCAGGCTGCTGATGTCAGGAGCTCTCAGCGCTCCCGCTGATGCCCAGCCCTGCCCAGCCCTGTTTTTACAGCCACTCCCTTACCTGCCTGGCTGCAGCCTGTCTTAACACCCCCGTGAAACAGCATATTTTGGGTACAAAGCAGCTGCTCCCAGCTGAACTACTGCTCCTACATTCTACACATTCTTCCTGTTTGGCGCATCCACTGATCTCCTCCAGGCTGATGGCAGGCAAACACCCGTGCATCAGGGATGTAGATGATGAGGGCAAAATGTGGAGATCCGCAATCCCTGGTTCGACACAGAGCTGTGAATGCTCACTGTTTCCTGCCATTCAAGCCACTGACATTTTACAAACTAATTCACGAGCCCTCTTTGAACAAGGGGACACAGTCACCGTGGGGAAAGCCAGCAAGCAATATATGTGCAAAATGTAAATATTATATAGCTGGGAGGTGGCTAGTTCGAGGCCTCAATACCAGGATTCCCGTTTTTCTGTTGCTGGAGCACAGGGATTTCCGTCGTGGCTATGCTGCAGCCATTACCGAGTCACCGTGGAGGGAGCAGGTCCCCTCCTGGGCAGTGTACAGCCCCAAACATACAATAACAATTCCCAACCTGTCTGCCACGTGCTTTTTTTGGTGAGAGACTTCCATGTAGGACTGAAAGATGCTGAGCCCAGCCGAAGCACGGTGAAAACGCAATAAAGCATAAAGTTCAAGGCACTCACCTGCATGCAGTGGCAGCAGCCACCCGCAAAGCTTCTGTTTGCTCCCGCTAGAACCAGTTTATCCAATAAAAGCTGTCACCTCCTCCTCCTCGCGTTGTCTCAGTGTAGCCACAACAGCATCTTGAGAACAGAGCCGAGTTTTGGGAGGAAGGCGAGCCCTGAAATCTGAGAACCAAGTCCGGCTTGGTCAGAATCTGTGCGAGTTGCAGGAGCTAAATCACCCTGAGCTCGAACCCCAGATAAGGATCAGCTGCAGGAGCAGCAAACACTGTCGGGGCAGGCAGGATCCTTCTGCATCAGCTCCCAGCCCTGGGAACACCATGCACGTGAAAGAAGGGAAGAACTGCTTACAGAAGGAATGAAGGCCGGCTGCCTGCGGGGGAGGAGTCTTCTGGTGAAGGCAGTTGCCAGGAATTCTAGCAAAGGAGCACCATCCATCCACACCAGCGACGGGCCGGATTCAGTCAGGGACAAAGGCTTTTCCTTCCCGTAGTATGGCTCTAGGATTGTACTCTCAGCGCGACTCCAAAATTCAAATTTCAGCGACAGTGCCCTCCCACCCAGATTCCTGCCAGGCAACCCTGAAACCACCCCATCTCACAGCTCAATCCGGTCCGGCAACTTCTAAAGCATTACAAAAGACTGGGAGAGAGATAAAACTCACAGGGTGTCCTGTTACTTTGCATTCCAAAGAGTAAATAAAAGGCTGATTCAGTGGGAGGAGAGGAGAACGTCATCCAGCAGCGCTGTGCTTTCCGGCTGAACAGGCAGCCCCCAGAGCAAAGGCTGGGGACCGCTGGGGATGGGCACAGCCACCTTGGGCTAATCCAGCCTCTCTATCTGCAACGCAAGAGAATAATTACTGACTGTGGAGAATGGGAGCTGGAAAAGTGTAGTGAGTTGCCCTCAACTAGCTACATACTGCTCTGGGGCAGAACAGGGAGGTGGCACTCCCCTTCCCAAAGCTGTTCAAGGATTACTGTGTCATTAGGATGGGAACTTCTCCTTTGATCTCAAATGCTTCTCTCACGAGCTCGGGAATGAGAGCCCTGCTCCCAAAACATGATTTTGGCAGAGATCAGAAGTAGCTTTGTCCTCCTGAGATCGTGAAAGCTGGCCAGAACTAAGGGGTCTAGTGCCCTGCTCCATCTCAGGGATGTCATGGGCATAAGGGCAGCCTCCAACACACCCCAGACAGCTCCTAGAATCGCTTCCAAAATCCAGGAGGATCCTGGAGGATCCCGTGCCTCTGCTTCTGGTGCCAGCCACCTGTCAATCATGGGGCTCCCAAAGGAATACAAAGCACTAGGAAACACTAGGATGTAACCTTGCTGCCGGGACCATAAAGAGAGCCAGGTCTCCTTCTTGAGCTCTTCAACGCTAGAAAGCAGAGAACCTCTTTTGTGAGCTCTGAATCAGCAGCAGCAGTATTTGCCAGCCAAACTGTAAATGCAAGAGTGGACAGGCCTGACCGCCTGGTTTCTGGCACCGTGTGTTTTGAAACCACTGGGCACGCCCAAGGCTCCAAGTCAGGTAAAGTTTGTCTTCTAACGAGCTGCAAATGTGTAAACTGAGGCCTTGACGACTTAGCTTAAAGCAGAGAGGTGCCCTTTCACCCTCCCCAGATCTCTTTGACTCACCTCAACACAAGTTGAAAAAATAAGAATACAATAAATCCTGTCAACCAGCCTAATTCAGCTTTGTAATTATAATTACAAAGGACTCATCCCTCTGACTGGGGGCTCTCCTGGTCACAACTGCCTGAAAACAGACTCAACTTTCCCCTTGCCCTTCAAAGGAACAGGGTGCTAATTTTCTGCCAAAAAAGTACTTGGGGCTTTTTGGGAAATACTCAGCTTTGCACATTAACACGTTCCCTACTCTCAGCTGTCCTAGCAGAGGCTGGAACAACAGACCAGCTACGTTTAGGATTTTTGGTAAAGTACAGAGGCTGCATATGACATTGCAATTATAAAAGTGACAGGACAGATAACAACCTTTGCACCAGCACCTTCACAGCCATTTCAGGGGCCATCCTCAGTTGGAAGCCACTTGGAAGACACTCTCAGTACAGGAGCACTGACAGACCCAAAAGCTCAGCTTACCAAGTTACTGATTGTCATTAAGGTACTCAGGACATTCCTAGCCAGTGAAACAGAACTTACTTCCTTACACAAACAAAGGGAGTGCAAAGGGAGGTCAGTCATTCATAAAGCCGCAGTGACTAGAAGGCTTGTGACTGTCTCATATCCATAATTTCACTGTGTAACTGAGTACACAAGAATAATTCTCACCACAGGCTGACTTACAAGCACTTTGCTTAGGCATTTTAAAAGCCCTCAGTGCAAATTCCTTTTTGGTTTTGTTTTGGTTTTTGGGGTTTTTTTTTTGAGTAATAAAGCATATTTTTGTATATATATAAGCATATTTTTGTATGCATGTCTTGTAAATATCAAGCAGCCATTGCTTCCCCAAGCACAAACCAAAAAATTTTCCATTGTTTCCATAAATTGCTTCAGAATAACAAATAGAAACATTAAAGCCACTTACCACATTCCAAAAAATGCCAGCACCTTGCAGGTCCCTGTTAACTCTTCAAGCAGTGTCAGCGTGCAGGGAGAGCACCCTGACCTGCAGCAGGTTTGCTCTTCTTTTCTTTCTTTGCTCTCTACTTTCCAGGCCCTGACGGCCTTGCTGTGGGTCAGCACAACCACTTACTGATGCTCCTCTGGGATTTGGTTGGCACCTTCTGTAAGTGTCATTGCAAAACCACGTGGTTCTGGAGCTCTGAAGGACCAGCCTGTTTCTGCTTCAAGGATCTTGCATTTGGCAGGTGACTTATTCTGCTCCAGGTGCAAACTGGAGGACAGTGAGAAAAAGTAACCTTAGGAGGTATGGGTGCAAGGCTCACCAAATTGGCTTGGTGAACGCTTCCAGACATAAAGAAACAAATTGCTTCTTAAAATACAGACCTCTGATTGAGTTTCAGTATTCAGGCCTCAATGCAGGATGCCGTGTACAAGATTAATCCAGGCCCGAATGAACTAATCCACATTGAATGGGTCACTTGGCATAACCTGTGTCATCACTTGTGTCATCCCTAAATTAAATCCTCAATAGCTCAAATTTGCACTACTCATGCAGAATTTCTTTAATAGCCCACAAAACCAAATGGCTCTATCCAGAGGGTAATTCACTGTACAGGAACAGGAGAGAGGTCAAATAAATTGTCCCTCTGGAGGGATCAGCAGCTGCAAATGCAGTCTTGTGGTGAGAAATTCAGATTTATTTATTGAGAAATTCAAAGCATAAGAAAGATGATTCCAGCCTTCCACCTCTGGATCTACACACATCTGGTCTATCCACATAACTAGGGTCCAATAAATCTCAGATTGAGATGAGTCAGTTGCAAAGGGGTTAAGTACAGGATTAAACAATTTTTCTCTCAAAGCATGTTTCCAGCATGGACCCAGCAAGCACATTCTCCCTTCCCCACAGCTCTGAAACTGCTGTGTTTAGTGTTTAGGCTATGGGGCAAAGTCTGAATTCCAGAATGCCGTCCTACAGGATGAACAGCACCCAGTCAGAAAGGTCCTGAGTTCGGGCACCACGTCCCCAACTTGTGGCACGCACAAGAATTGGGTCTATTGTGAGGTGGTTCAGGTTTGCCATGTGACAAACAAGTAACAAGGTTTTTGCATTTACTAAAAACAATGCTAGGATTTCCAAGGTATTGGCAAAATGAAGATCAACTGTTAAAACATGTCCAGTTAATGACTCTTTTGAAAGGAACACCTGAGGTGAGCTCACAGGGTTATGAGGGCATCCTACCGAGTTATATAAATACAGATTTCCCCCATGATTTAAATAAAACAAAACAGTCATTAAAATAAAGTTTAGAAAGGTTTTAAATGGCTAGTGGCTGTTTGTGTAGCCTGCTCAGTTTTTTAAAGCAGGTTTTACACAATATTCTCTTTGTGGAAATAAACTCCTAATCCACAGCTTTTAGGAGATAAACAAGGCTCTTTGATAACTAGTGAGCATCTCACTGTGACAAAAACAGGCTGAACTTAGTTTTTAAACTAGAAAAGGTATTGATAAAGATTCATCAGGCTGAATGGCCCTTTAGTTCCAGGCAGGACAGGTGGAAAATGGGTAATGTCAGTATAAATACTTTCTCTAGGCCCTCTTCCCCTACATGCTGCCCTTGCAGCTCTTACTGCAGGACTCACCCAGAACAGCTTTCAGGCTGCAGAGCAAGAGGATGTGGGAGCATACACCACCTGGAACACAGTCTAGTTTATAGATACCCTCCCCCAGTCCCAGCATGCCCCACAAAACCACAGGAGCCCTTCTGCCTCATCTAGTTCAAAGTTATTTATTAAAAACAAGGGCTCTTGACTTGCAGTAGCTTAGGGGTTAATTTTCAACCAGAGTGGAGCAACTCATCAGACAGGTGGTAGCTGAATCACAACAGGCTGTACTTTGTTTGTGAAAGCTAGGATAAACACTTCCTACCCAAGCCAGCACATGGCCATTCAAAATCAGAAGCTCATCCAGTGTCTGATGCTCTTTTCCCCCAAAACCAGACTTCAAAATAAAAGAGCACGAATCTGAGAGAAGCAACAGGGATGCAAAGGTTGCTCAAAAGTAGGATGGTGTTTAACAGCAAGACACTTAAAACCAGCAGCAACCACCTGAGACACACTAAACTTCTGGGATTAGATGAAGGTTTCTTGTTTTCTTAAGCTTAATACTGCCAAAGCTTCCTATGTCCAGCAAGAAAGTCATGAGGACTGACAGAAATTAAAAGGTCTTCACAATGTAACCGTCTTTCAGCACTTGATTGTAGGTTATTTAATAATTTATTAATTATGAACAGAACATAGCAGGATTATCTTGATTATGTTTTGAATTTAAAGGCTCTTTCACATAAGCAATAGCAGGAACTTGCTTGTTGCCTGCTTAGTCTTTTAACTTCACAACTAAAAGGACTTTGGAATGTCTCACCTCCCTCCCACACCACAGTCTTTCTGCTGGCTCCTGATTGATAAATGTGCAAAACATGCTCCTGATTGATAAATGTGCAAAACATGTACCAAACATGGCAAAGCAGGACAGAAAACCTTTATCACTCCAAACTGTGAAGCATATAGACTGTAATTAAAGCACTTGCTTTAAAATGCTGAACTGATGTGTCCTGCTAACTCAGCATTTATATCCAGTTACTTCTTTTCTTACTGAAATAGCTGTTTTCCTTCAAAGTGGGAAGTGGGTTAGATGCACTAACTGGTTTCTGCTTACAGGACTCTCACAAAGCAGATGTTGTGAAAGATCCACAGCCCCAGCCTGAAGCCCAGCAAAACAGTAACACACACAGAGCTCCAACCACAACAGTCCTGAACTGTACAATTTGGTTCTTTAAGCATATTATATTCTATAATATATAACTTGGAGCAGACCACATCTTAAAAAAAAAGCCTACAAAAAAAGACCAGGTTAAAAAGAACCATCCATCCTATCAAGAAGACCAGGATATTAGCTCTGGACAATGACTGTACACAAAACACACTGTAGAGAACCAAAAGGATATGGCAGAGATCTATAAGGCTTTCTACACTTTTATTCTTCTCCTGGTCCAGCACATCTTTTGACCTCATTCAGCTTCAAGGTCATGTCAGAACAGTCACAAATTCATCTCCAGTATGTGCAAAATTCAAAAATATTTACATAGACAGATAAAACTACAAAAGTAAAACCAAAACTAATGGCCAGGGTCACGGGTTAAAGTATTTCTTCAGAACCCAAGAGACAACAGTTTGGGTGTAGTTGAAAACATATTCCAACCTTTTAAATCAAGGTACAGTTTGTTTCCACTGATAAAAAGGTTTCTATGTTGAAGAAAACTAAAAGAGGATTGTTCTTGTGAACACCAACTTTTTCCTTTCCACTACAGTCCAATTTGCTGACAGACTTGTTCACACAGTGAACAAGTATCTCTGTATCTCATCTCCCTCTCCCCCATGCTCACTCTGTTACAGCAAAAAAAACCACTTTGACTCTCACCCTGTCTTTGACAGTAACATGACATGGATGTAAGTTACAGTAACTCTGGTGCCAAAGACACCATCCTGAGTCACTAGGTAACAGTAGTGACAGCCAGACTCCAGTAAAAGCAGACATCTTCTCCATGACTTTGAAAAGCCACTCAATAACCCTTTCCAAGCAACCTTCCCTGCTTAATGAAGATCCAGGATAACTGCTTTGTCTACAACTGAAAATGCACAGGAACTGTATTTGCAAAAAGTCCTTTGAATGAAAAAAGAACAAAAAACAGCAAGACGTTTCTTAAAACAACAATTTCACAGAACCCGGATTTTCACGTCTGAATTGAAACATTTTGTTTTGCAGTACAGCATGTTTTTTTTCTGTGGAATTTCTACCCAGACATGGCAGTGCTGACCCTGGAAAAACAAGGGCAGAACCCAGTCCAATTCCAAGCCATGGCTGGCGTTAGGCAGCCTCAGGTGTTTGGTTGGATGGAGGATGACAACAGGCTCAGGGAAGTTCTCAGAAAGTGATCCATGTTAAAACCAGTGGTCACAGCTGATCCTGAGTCTGCTTTGGAGATGGAGCTGTTGTCACAACCACAGTGGACACTGCTTTAGTTGAGCCAGAGACTGTTCCCTGCTGGAGATGGGAGGCTGGAACTGTTTGAATTCGCACCTGTGTGAAATGGAAAGAAATAAAACTCATCTCAAGAACAACCTGGTGACACAATGACTGCACCTGCACTGTGCTCTGGTGAAGTACCTGCTTCTGCTGCCAACAAAAACTCAGTGATTAGAACAACACCAAGCACCAAAAACACTGCCAGAACAGAATATGTCATAAGAAGATCATTCCATCTACTGCCCATGAGAGATGGTGACAGGAGATTTCCAGATGAGAGAAGAAGGCCTGAAAACTAGTTTGAATAAAAATCTGTATGTCAGCTGCTTTTACACATTTTCAGAAGAAGGACTTGGATCCATTGGATACCTCACTTCTACAGACTTGTTAACATCAGCTGTCGATGCAGATTAATGATTTGGAATTATGGAACACTAAATTTCCAGACAGAAAGATGGATATGCAAATCAGTTATGTGATTTCTTCAGGAAAAAATGACCCACAAAAGCTAAAGTACAAAGCACTACAAAGACTGCTGCATGTATAGAAAAATCCTGACAGGACCTTTGGTTTTACATTCATTACACTGGCAGTGCTTCAAAAACATTTAAAAACTTTATTTGGATGGAGAGAACATAAAGGTGATGATGGATTCCATGTGCTTAATGCAGACACTACAACCAAGCTGTGTGCCTGGGTTTTTTTCCGCAATCCCATGTATCCAGTGTAATGTCCTAATGGAGATGTTAAGTCATTAAAAAGCAAATAGAATGATCATTCCAGGTGCCCTCACCTGTGTGGCTTGGCCTTGCTGCTGCAGCTGCTGTAGTTGCTGTGCAGTCAGAAAACTCACAGGCTTGTTCCCAGCAATTAGTTTAGTCCCTGCTGGCATTGTAGTCAGAATGATATTTCTGCCTAATCCACTGATGCTAAGGAATAATAATTGTTGAAAGGTTAGTAAACAGCACAGCAGGTTCAAGCTTTCCAACTCCAAACCATTCTTC